CCACCCTTCCTCTTGAGCTCATATTGTGTGTGTGTGTGTGTGTGTGTGTGTGAGTGTAGCCTATTGTGTGTGCGTGTGTGTGTGTGTGTGTGGTGGGGCCGTGCGCAGGCTTACCCACCGACCGACCAGCCATTGTGGCATGATTGTGGAGCAGTGCCTGACGACTCGGCAGGTTCCCGACAACAATGACCTCGGCCTAACTCTGTGAGCCCACCACCGAAGCAGAAGTATAGGCTCTTGACATTCTTCAGGATCTAGATCAATTGCCATTGTTCCTGTTTGTGGACGAAATAGGGGCATCATTTGTGACGGATTCACTGAAACTGATCGACAATCTTGCAAGGAGCCGTAACTCTAACAATTCAGTTCCCTCAACTCTAACTCTAGCAGCAAAGGATCGTGTAGTGGTTGGAGACCTTCCTGCTATAATAATAGATTTCTAGGCCTAGTTCATCAAGTCATCGAGGGAAGTGAGCAAGATATCTGTCATTGTTACCTTGCTTGATATTATGAAGGATTGAAAACGTAAAATTTGTGTGATATTTTGTCCAGTATGAAACCCAACACAAAACTGATTCTTCCACTTCTTGCAAGGTTGAATTGGGTTGGTTTTTTTTGTTTACAACTTGTCTTGCTGTTTTCAAAACTTTTACACTTGACTTTCACATGATGTACAGCGGCAGCCCAGTTAAGCGCAGTTTTGATCTCTTGTTCAGTGTAATGTCTAAAAACCGTCTGTTTTCTAGATCTAGTCTGAAAATCTTTTTGTGAGGCTACACAGTTTAGACTCTTCTAGGCCTCTACTCTACTCTCTATGTAAATTGGACTTTCTCATTGTCTCCTGTAAAAAAAATCGAGATACTTTCTTTTTACTTTAACTTGAAGTTGGAAAAATTTATTCCTTAAAGCTGAAAGTGAAAAATGAATGAGCCAGGAAATGTTCAGGCTCAGTGTTATGACATGATACTCTCAGTTCTTGACAGTATCAAATACTTTGAATGTGGCATGTGGCTGTGATAAAACAGGCTGGTGAAGGACGACAGGGGGGAGGGGGGGAGGGAGATGGATACTGTGAATCCTGAGCAAGACTTTGATGTGGACCGGAGAGATACTGGCTTCACAAAGCTGGACATTTCTCTTACAGGGTCGTCTAAGTCGGAGAAGATTCTCTCCGTGGAGGCGGAGGAAGATTGTGTAGATTTACTTCCAGGCACAGGAGGCACGGCTGCCTGCTCCCAGGAAACTCCCAGTCCCTCCTCTCGCGGCCAGAACTGTTCCCAAAATTCTAATTATTGTCCAAATTCAGAGGAAGTTTCCCCATCCCGTGTGGAAGAACATGTTGTTGTGTCTGTTCCTGGAGATAGCTGTCGGATCAGCAGTGATTCTGGTGACGGTGTCTCATTGCTTCCATGTGCACAGACAAATGCACCGAGTGTTGCCAAAAATAGAAAGATGAAAAACAGCAAAGATGAAGGTGAGACCAAAAGTAGTGAGTTGTCTGACCTACTTTCCTTGGAGGAGAAGTCTTCAAGGTAGAGATCTATGACAATTTGAATATTGCAAGCTGTGTGTTGATTTTGGTGGCTCAAAACTTGAGTTGTTAGTGTATTTCATGATAAAGATAGAATAAACTTTGCTTCCAGCCTGCTTCCAATGATATTTGTTCACCTTGGAAGGCCAAGGTCACACAACTAAAATTAGAACTTTTGCTTCTACTTCTAATCTTACTTTAACTATGTTTGGTAGTTGAATGTCAGCAGTACTCGGTGTTTTGCGTCAGGATAGACCCCTGTGCCCTGAGGAGGTGCCTGAAGGTCTCACTGGCCACTCTTCCTTAAACAAATTTAAATTTTAAATATTTTAACATTTAGGTGTTTTTAAGTCCCCATTGACAAAATAATAGACCATTAAGTTTAAGGAGGCGGGCATCTGGCCGTGCCTGTCAAAGAATTGGGCTGAGAGGGATTTACATGCCAGCACAGGGATGAGATATTCCATAAATCGGAAATGGAACTTTGGTCTCCGACATGATGTGACAGCGAAACGCCTGACGCTACACCACAGATGCCAGTCCTCAACAAAAAGTTCCAATTTATACTTTATCCAGATGATTCAGTTATAGTTTTTTTGTTTGTTTTTTTCTCTTGCAGTTACAGGCAGCGGATATGATGCTGATGTGACGAGCTGTGCGTCTGCTAGTGTGATGGTCCGCACGTCCCGAGGGAAGAAACAGCGTCGGTCCGGTGGTACCGCTGTGGGGACAGGGGCGGACGGTGGCGGAGTCAAGGGGAGGAAACAACGGTTATCTGATGGGGCAGGCACTCGACAAAAGAACGGCCGCTTGTCGGACAGTGAGGTTTGCACAAGACATGAACAGCCGCCACGTGAGAGGAAGAAAAAATCTGGGTGTGCTGGGACTGTGGGGGTCTGTGGGTGGCCCAGCGTGGGCCAGGTAGCAGACGAGTCGGAGAGTTTCAATCGGCCTGTCAGGAAACTGGGTCAAGGCAGCGGAACGCGCAGGAAGTGTCGAGACAAAGGAAAAGATCAAACATTGCGGAAAGAGAAGAGGAAAAAGTCAAGGACATTGAAAAGTGCCGAGGAGTTTGTGGACGAAGACGGGGAGTGTTTCCGATTGAGTCCCCACGGGAAGTGTTCGTCGTCGCCAGCAGCGGGTGGCCAGGCCACGGAGAAGCCCCACCAGTGTGAGTTCTGTGGCGCACGTTTCTCGCAGCGAGGAAACCTCAAGTCTCACACCCGCGTGCACACCGGAGAGCGACCCTTCATCTGTAAGTTTTGTGGGAAAACCTTCGCTGATCAGACCAACAAGAAAAACCACGAGCGCTCACATGTAGGCGACAAGCGCTACATCTGTGACTTCTGCGGCCGCCGGTTCATCACCAACGGCGTGTTGAAGAAGCACCTCCGCAAACACACGGGGGAAAAGCCCTACCGCTGCGACGTGTGTGGGAAGACGTTTGCCCAGAGTGACTACCTCAGCGTGCACCGCAGCATACACAAGGGGGACAAACCTTTCGAATGTGACCTCTGTGGGGTCAAGTTCACACGCAACTGTAGTTTATTGCGCCACAAGAAGATCCACAAGGGAGAGAAGCCTTTTCAATGTGACATTTGTCAGGCTAAGTTTTCTCGTCGAAGCAATATGAACACGCACAGGAAGTCCCACCTGAGAGGAAAGCCAGCGGAGAAGGAGGTGGTTGAGGGAGCGAGCTCAGCGTGGGAGTCACAGGGCACAGGTTCGGTGACTGGCTCAGCGTGGCTAAAAGATCCTATGTATTATCTGTGGCAGCGAGTGTCTGGCCAGGGGCCACAAGCCCAGCTCTCACAAGTGGAGAGAGCTCCAGAGGTCGTGACCTCCACCCCCAGCGCCGGCCCTCACCTGCTGGGAAATAACACGCGCAGCGCTGTTTCACACACGGCTGTCAGCAACACACTGACTGCCCTGTCGCAGACACCACTACACAACACACATCCCCCTGTGTCGCAGACACCCGTACACAACACACATCCCTCTGTGTCGCACACACCAGTACACAACACACATCCCTCTGTGTCACACCCACCTGTGTCGCACACACCAGTACACAACACACATCCCTCTGTGTCACACACACCTGTCAACAACACACATCCTCCTGTGTCACACACACCTGTCAACAACACACATCCCCCTGTGTCACACACACCTGTCAACAACACACATCCCCCTGTGTCGCACACACCTGTCAATAACACACAACACACCAGCCATCTCCCGCCCGTCAGTAGCCCCCCGCCCACCCTCTCTCCCCCTGCACTGAACAGCCCCCACAGAGCCACCTGCGACGTGTCGCACGCTCCCAACATTACCCACAATTCCCCCCTGCTGAGCAGCGCCTGTGGGGCTCTGGACTACACACGACCGCCGCCAGACCCCCGCGGGGCCAGTGGGCTTGTGGGAAATATGGCGGGCTTACTGCCCCCCACCGATGCCACAAGCCACATTCCCTGGCCGTGCCACGCGCCGACTCGCGCACCCAGCTCAGAGACGCGCCAAGTACACAGCATAGAGACGCGCCAAGTACACAGCACAGAGACGCGCCAAGTACACAGCACAGAAGATTCAGCATTTTTGACAGCACACAGTTCTGGCACGGAGGTGACTACTCAGTCTCCTGCGCCCCATGTGTGTAGCACAGAGTTTTACCGAGTTACTGTCAGAGATGATTCTGACTTGCCTTCACAGCCGTCCAAGACACATGTGTCATATGACCTCACTGCGAACGTGTCGAGCTCAGAGGTGTGTCATGTAAACAATGTGGAGGATTCTGCTTTTCTGACACGCGTACCTAGTTCACACGTGTCACTTACCCTTCCCAGCACACACATGTCGCTGACTGGTCACACACAAGTACCTGGCACAGAGGCGTGTCCCGTCGACACGAGAGCAGAGTCGTCCCTCCCTGCACACCCACCAGGCACACACGTCAGTCATCGTGCACACGTGTCAAACAGGCAGGTGTGTCATCGTGATGCTATCGGCAATTTGCCAGACTGTCCGACACGTGGCCCTAACACACTTCATGAGACACACACCCTTCCTACCCACGTGTCAAGCTCGGAGCCGACCCAAGGTGTCTCTGGTTTCCCTCTTCCTGCAGACTTCCTACGTGGCGACACGCTGTCCTCACAGAGCAGGGACCTAGGCGTGCCGTCAAAGACGTGTGCGTGGAAGGGCGTGCCGTCAGAGACGTGTGCGTGGGAGAGACAGACAGCTGATGGGACAAGTGACCCGCCCACTGAGCTGTGTCCCGGTCCCACAGAGATGAGCTCTCGCGTCGGGGAGGAACAGTACGCTAGTTCTGACGTTCGCTTGTTTCATCATAAAGAATATTGTGGCCGTTCTAACGTAGCTTTACGTGATCCGAAGGAACAGCGGGTTGGCTCCGGGGTACGTTCACTGCGTCACCAGGGACATCACGCGAATCTGCTACACAAGTTTGCTAGTCCTGTAGGTCAAGGCCGTTATCCACCAGGGACGGGTTTGAACCCCAGTATGACAGACCTTTGTGTACTGTCTGGACTGTGTGGTGGTGGTGGTGGTGGTGGAGGTGGTGATGATAGTGATGGTGGTGGTGGTGGTGGAGGTGGTGATGATAGTGATGGTGGTGGTGGTGGTGGTGATGATGATGGTGGAGGTGGAGGTGATGATGAAGGTGGTGGTGATGATGAAGGTGGTGGTTGTGCCAGTGGTGGTGGCCTTGGTGCCAAATCGCCCGACAGAACTCGAATGTCTGCCCAGGGAGACGACACTACCACTACCGATGTGCCCCAAGGTCGAACCCCTGCTGTGGGTCAGAGTGGTTTCCCTTGCCCAGCGGAGGAAAACCCCCCGAAGCCAGCAAAGGTGAAGTGGGAGCGAGCGTACCAGTGCGAGTTCTGTGGCCGTCGCTTCAGCCAAAAGTGTAACCTGAGTACGCACCGACGCATCCACACGGGGGAGAAGCCCTACCGCTGCCTCGACTGCAACCTGCGATTCTCCGACTACAGCAACCTGGCCCACCACGTCCTCATCCACTCGGGCGAGCGCCAGTTTGTCTGCCACGCGTGCGGGGTCAAGTTCGTGGAGAAAAGTGCGCTGAAAAAACACGTCCGAATTCACACGGGGGAAAAGCCGTATCACTGCGCTATGTGTGGCAAGGACTTTGCTCGCAGCACGTCTCTGTCCCAACACATGCTCATACACGGCACGGAGAAACTCTACACGTGTGATGTGTGCGGGGCCAAATTTGCACAGAGCAGCAGCGCACGTCGACACAAGAAGACGCACACTGGCGAGCGGCCGTTCCAATGCGACGTCTGTCTGGCCAGGTTTTCCCGCAGGAATAATCTGAACATCCACAAGCGTCGGGTTCACCCGTGCCACGTGGTGTCTCTGGTCTGTGACCTCTGTGGCCAGGTCATGAAGAGTGACCTTCACCTCCGCGAGCACCGAGCGGCGTGCCAGCAGAAGGACACGTACTCCAAGCTCATGTGGGCCAAACAGACCAGCATGCAGATCACGCCCTCGGGGGGGGGGACTTTCGCTGCTCGGCTGTGATAGACGGATAGACATGTGATGATAGACGGATTTACACGTGATAGACGGATATGTGATAGACGGGTGGATACACATGTGGCATATGGCAGACTTGAAATAGACATGTCGTGATGGACGAATAGACATGTAGTGATGGACGAATAGACATGTAGTGATGGACAAATAGACATGTAGTGATGGACAAATAGACATGTAGTGATGGACGAATAGACATGTAGTGATGGACAAATAGACATGTAGTGATGGACAAATAGACATGTAGTGAAGGACAAATAGACATGTAGTGATGGACAAATAGACATGTAGTGATGGACAAATAGACATATCACTACCTCAGAATTACGACGTTCTGACATGTTTCGGCTGTTTTGTGTGACCAAGACCATGAGGTCAGAAGCTAAATGTTCTATTTTTGCTCTATTTTTACGATATTTTGAGTCGTTATCGAGATATTTTAAGAATTGCATTTGAAAAAGCTTGACATAATAGTGAAACTCAAAAACTTTTATCATCAAATTTCTCAAAACTAGTTCGAGGTATTGAGAAGATAGCACTTTGTAATGGACAGATAGACCTGGGATGGACAGATAAATATGTGATGGACAGATAAATATGTGATGGACAGATAGACATGTGATGGACAGACAGACAGACGGACGTATGGTTATTCAACAACATAATGAAGAAGCCTGTTTTCGGGAAACTTTCAACAAAGCGGTTTCTGTATCCCAAACTTGAGAAGGCAGGCAAGGTGAAGGACATGTACACAGAACAACATTGTGATATGTGTTCTTGTGGGTGTGTGCGTGTGTGTGTGGGTGTATGTTGTGTGTGTGTGTGTGTGTGTGTGTGTGTGTGTGTGTGTGTGTGTGTGTGTGCTATATCTTACACTTACAGAGTTTCCCCCAATCTGTGCCCGCCTCAGACAATCACTGTTCTCTTCACCAGTGCGCGGCTGTCTTACACGACTATCGTGTGTCTCAGTCTGTGTCTCACACAACTTGGACGACTGTATCGTGTGTCTCAGTCTGTGTGACGTGTCTTACACGACTGTATCGTGTGTCTCAGTCTGTGTCTTACACAACTTGGACGACGGTATTGTATGTCTCAGTCTGTGTCTTACACAACTTGGACGACGGTATGATCGTGTCATTTGTGTGTCTCAGTCCGTGTGTTCACACCCTACTGTTCTTGTCTTACTACAGAACTACAACCATTATTAAACTGTATCCAAAAGTTTGATTCAAAACTAGTGTTGTTTTTTTTGTCCTCCTTGGTTCAACTGTAGTTTACTTTTGTGAAGTTTTCACGGCACTTGCAAGACAAATAGGTCACAGAACTGCCAACGGTCAGAGGTGTTCCTTTGTCATTTTACTCTCTCTAAATTTTAAAAAAGGAGGTGAGATAAGGACGACAGAAGATGCTTGATAGGAAAGGAGCAAACGGCACCAGAGCACCTGCCAACCACCCACTTGGTGACAGGAGTGAAAAGAAAGGAAGACCATGTTTGTGTTAAAATGTAACAGTTGAACGCCCTGTCAACACTAGTGCTAGAATGTAACAGTTGAACGCCCTGTCAACACTAGTGCTAGAATGTAACAGTTGAACGGCCCTGTCAATGGTCAACACTAGTGCTACTACTACTAGTACTAGTAGGTTATTATTTACAACACCAGGCAGCGAGTGGGAGTTACAGTTCAGCTACGGGTACATATGGTCAGTTTTAAGGACAAGCGGGCTAACCCAGACGTCGGGGGTTTCCAGAAATCTTGACCCACACCAAAAGTGGGCATTGTCCTACCTATAGGAGAAGTTTGGTTTCATTGGTGTGTATATTTGTTTGGATATATAGAGAAAACTCTCCTTGTCTTTTAAAGAAACTGAACAAGGGGCAAAAACTTCACCTTCGATTTTCTCAAAACAGCATTTTTCGGGATAGCCCTCTTGTGCTTAAAAGCGACCATATGACAACAACCTTCAGTTCTACTGAGCCAGTCTCTCAGAGAGTATGTGACCGTGGGAACAGACCGGGGTAAGGGTGACAGTGGTAAGGGTGACCGTGGGAACAGACCGGGGTAAGGGTGACCGTGGGAACAGACCACGTGGGAACAGACCGTGGTAAGGGTGACCGTGGGAACAGACCGGGGTAAGGGTGACCGTGGTAAGGGCGACCGTGGTAAGGGTGACTGTGGGAACAGACCGTGGTAAGGGTGACCGTGGGAACAGACCGGGGTAAGGGTGACGGTGGGAACAGACCGTGGTAAGGGTGACTGTGGGAACAGACCGTGGTAAGAGACTGGGGTAAGGGTGACTGTGGGAACAGACCGTGGTAAGGGTGACCGTGGTAAGGGTGACGGTGGGAACAGACCGGGGTGAGGACATGTCAGTTTGTGTAGCTGTGTCCTCTCCTCACCTCTGCTGCCTAAGGAACAGGTTTGAATCCCCCTTCATGGATACTTAGGTAGGCCTACAGTGAAACAGTACATACAGAGTCCACAGTCGCTCACACTGGGGCCACGCACTAGTTTGCTACAGTAGAACAGTACATACAGAGTCCACAGTCGCTCACACTGGGGCCACGCACTAGTTTCCTACAGTAAAACAGTACATACAGACACGACAGTCCCGCCCTCACAGGGGCCACACAAGGGGAGGATTCGAGGAAGCTGTCACGTGTTGAGGCCCTCCAGTTCCAGCGGAGCAGAAACTCACGGCATATTATTCGCACATGACACGTACAAAAGTGGGCTGATTCTGGTGTCAAAGCGAAACAACACAGCCTGTATTATACACCAGGTCCTGTATAGGCCAGCATGTTATATATATATTATATTATATATATATTCGGTATATATTATAATCCATGATATCCTGAACATGAAAACACAACAAGTCTTTCCAAATCTGTTTTTAAAACAATCAAAGCCAAAAGTTGGTATCACTAGAAGAAAGCTCTTTAATAGCTTGAATATAGTGAAAACCGTAAAAAGGTATATATAATATATATTTATATATGAATTAGGCAGGCAGAGATATTTCACAATATATCATGTATATTATATGTATAACTGTCAGTCTTGAAGAAGTAACAAACAGCTGACACTGACACTCGTGTTCCAACGGGCCCGATCCATCAACGAAACGTCAACCTGGGTTGTTTTGTTTTTGTTTGTGTAGATAGCAGGTGTTTTTACGCCCCCATCCACACAATTTAGGAGTCCGGCTGTCCGCCCTGCTGGTCAGGCTTAGCCCGGGCTGAGAGGGATACAACATCCCAGCAGACAGACCCGGGCTGAGAGGGATACAACATCCCAGCAGACAGACCCGGGCTGAGAGGGATACAACATCCCAGCAGACAGACACGGGCTCAAGAGGGATACAACATCCCAGCAGACAGACCCGGG